ATATATTTATTATATATATAAATATTTAAATATACACACATTTAATATTAAAAAATTAAAATAAAATAAAATAAAATATATATAATAAATATTATATATTTATTATATATATAAATATTTAAATATGTATATATATATATATATATATATATATATATTTAATATTAAAAAGTTAAAATAAAATTAAATATATTATACAATTTGTATAAAATATTATATATTTATATATTTATTATATATACGCACATTTAATATTAAAAAATTAAAATAAAATTAAATATACTATATAAATATACAACAAATATTGAATTTTTTATGGAAATCGAACCTGAACCTGAAAAGTGAAAGTACAAAATTCCAAAACCATCTTCACTACTTATACACAGCCAAAAATATTCAGAAATCCAGACTCGATCAGAAATTTTCGAAATTCCCGTCCTGATCTCAAGCGTATCCCTAATTACCGTATATAATAAAGATATTCCCTCTAACTTTTCTTTTTTCTCAAATATTTTAAAATAGTATTCAGAGTAAAATGTATTCAGAGCAAGCTGATGTAATACAATTTCATTGGCGAGTCGGATAAAACTCGTGGGACTGAAAACCACCGAAGTATTAAAAAATTAAAGGTCAACTCACCCTGGCCCAGGATAATAATAATAGGGAGGTGGTCGCTCGTATTCCGTGCTAAGCGGAGGAGGAGCAGCGGCAGCTGGTTGGTACCCAGGAGGACCACCATTAGGGAAGTCACAATTTCTGCAAAGACACCCCCAATCGATCAATAAAAACCACGGGGGGGGGGGGGAAAAAAAAAATAAATTCCAAGTAGTGTTTACTTTCTATGCTTCGTCAAACGTGTCGAACAACGAGCACAAATAAAAGAAAAAACAAAATAAAACAAAAAGACACGATACGAAAATATTCTCGAACATCGAAGTGAGAATTATTATTTTTTTTTTTTTTGCAATAGCGTAACGTATGTATGTATGCCTTAGCGAACAAACGAATGACGAAGCTGCTGAAGCGAAAAAAATCAAAGAGTAAATACGTTTTTACACCGTGATTCTCCTCGTGAAGAGGACAAAAAAAAAAAAAAAAAAAAAAAAAAAAAAAAAAGGTGACTCGAATCTATGACATGCTCTTTTCGCAAATCCTCGTACTTGGCGTACTTGATCAGACAAAAACGCGATTCGGTGGCAAATATGCGTGTAAATGTACGAGGAGAGCGAGTTTCGTTTATCCGATCATCGACACAACCTGACGTTGTTTTCATTTACTCCTGCGAGAAAGCTCCAGCGAAGCTACTATTGGCTTTGCGGCGCAAACGAGTCGAACAAAAGAACAAAAAGAAGGAAAAAACGAGAAGTAGATACGGAGACACAGTTGATAACAATCTGTCTTGCGACTTACGTGCAGAGGCGTATCGAGAGACGCGAGAAGTTGCCCCCCCGCAAGGTTCCCACTCACCTGGAAATAACCGGGAAAAAAAGCGTGACCAACGGGGTTGCATGAGATGTGTCAGATGGGATCAAGATTAATTTGCATGGCGTGTCAACAACATTCTGCACCTTACAACGATACTTTTACAGCCTCTCTCTTCTTCCTTTTTGTTTCGTTATTTGATCATTGTGAATCTAATGAAACACGCTCGAAAACTGAATTACAAAACTGAACAACATACTCCACTCGAAAGTGTAAAATTTAAATAATAGTACAAAGTAAGTGTAAAATAGTATAAATGAATATGGTATAAATAAATAGAATAATAGTGTAAAGTAGTGTAAAATAATACAAATGAATAAAATAATAGTATAAAGTAATACAAAATAGCATAAGTAATTAAAGTGTAAAATTTAAATAATAGTATAAAGTAGTATAAAATAGTACAAATGAATAAAATAATATTATAAAGTAATACAAAATAGTATAAGTAATCAAAGTGTAAAATTTAAATAATGGTATAAGATAGTGTAAAATAGTATAAATGAATAAAATAGTATAAAGTAGTACAAAATAGCATAAGTAATTAAAGTGTAAAATTTAAATAATGGTATAAAGTAGTGTAAAATAGTACAAATGAATAAAATAATAGTATAAAGTACTACAAAATAGTATAAGTAATTAAAGTGTAAAATTTAAATAATGGTATAAAGTAATGTAAAGTAGTATAAATGAATAAAATAATATTATAAAGTAGTACAAAATAGTATAAATAAAGTGTAAAATTTAAATAATGGTATAAAGTAGTGTAAAATTGTACAAATGAATAAAATAATATTATAAAGTACTACAAAATAGTATAAGTAATTAAGGTGTAAAATTTAAATAATGGTATGAAGTAGTGTAAAATAGTATAAATGAATAAAATAATAGTATAGAGTAGTACAAAATAGTATAAATAATTAAATAAAATAATAGTATAAAGTAGTAGAAAATAGTATAAATAATTAAAGTGTAAAATTTATAATAATATAATAATAAATATAAATAAAATTTATAACAATAATAATAATACAAATGGTCGAGATAAAATTCAAATTGGATTGAATGGATCAAGCAAATACTTTCAGTAATTTGTAACTCTCGAGTGGTAATTTGTATTATGCTACTAAAGATTCAAGATGTTTAATTTAATCTTATTTCTCGTACTTTCTCCATTTTATTTTATTAAAATTTTATTAAAAATTCCATAATTCAGCGAACTTGCATGGCCCCCAGTGTCCAATGATACCAGCAGTCAAAGTAATTTAAAGGTTTTCAGATTTTTGGAAAGCTACTTGACCCTTTCAAAATACTCAATTTTCAACAATGAATACTGTACAAGGCAAATCATGCAATTCATACTTCTTTAATGGTTGCTGATAGAACAATACGATGCGGGGAAAGACGTGATACTTTATCTATGATTAACTTATTACACAAAACACAGAGAAGGCGAAACGTCGGTAAGAAATTTCTTCTTCATTGACCTCGATTTACAACTACGGAGAATACAGGATACAATCCGAGTTGTAAGTGGTTCGACATTCACTAAACATTTCTCAAACAAGTACTTACAATTGTACGTCAGAACTCTTGGAATTTGCAATGTCGTCGCCTACCTTGACAAAGTATCGTGCAAGTTTCTATGTAAGAGAACAGAGATCCCTAATACAAGTGCAATATATTATAATTAATTATAATTAATTTGATATAATTAATTGTTAATTAATTATTTAATATATTCGTGTTTCAATCCGTTTAGTTTTTAACACACTTGTATCAAATATATGTATGTGTGTATATTACAGGTATTATCAATATATCAAAATGTACAGTGTATTCAGATATTCAAGTTTCATTTTCTGTGATCATTAATGAGAAACAAGATTTACAGAACAGATATGTGATGTTGAAAAATATTTAACAATACCAGCACTGATCAAGTGTTAGAAATATTGTAACGATTATCGTTTGTTAGTTAATTATTATTATTATATAATATTATTATATTATATACAATATTATATAATATAATTATAATTATATTTATACAATATTATAATATATAATATTAATATATATATAATATAATTATAATTATATTTATACAATATTATATAATATAATTATAATATTATGTAATAACATTATTATTATTATTATTATATAATATTTTATTAGTTAATTTAGTTCTCTCATATCACAATAATTATCTCTATAATTTTGTTGAAATTATACATGTTGTTTTTTTATCGTTAGCTACAATTTAGGATATATTTGTTCTAGATGTTGCGTGCATAATTTACACAGTTGAGCATGATCCTATAATATTAACTCTCATTTTTTTAATTTTAATTTGTCCCTTGATGTCAAATTAACGTAATAATGATGTAAAAGATTGATAATGAAAAGATAAACACAGCGAAAACTATCGTACTGTTGAGTCGTTTATACACGCACCTAACTTTTTTTTAAATATTCTGGGCTTCTAAAAAAGAAAAAAAAATTTGGATTACCTAATGAAGGTTTTATTATATTATACAAGTAATTTTTAAGTCGAATCTATCAAAGGTTATTCAGGAAGAATAATTGTTTCTAAAAATTCACGAGTGAAATTTTGTTCAGACTGTAAACAATCTAGGCTGTTTATGAGGACTTAAATTTGCAAAATCACTTATTAATAGTAAATAAACTAAATTTCTATTCTATTAAAGGTAACGATATCGCAATTTTACATATTTTATAAGAAAAATTTGTCAAATTCGTACGAATGACAATTAATAATCGCAGAGAATAAAACTTGAATATGTTACTCTGTACTATATTGATTATGTTGCATGTTGTATTGCATCTGTACTATATATTTTGATACATGTGTTTCCTGTTTCATTAAAAGCTACACGGATTAAAACACAGCTATATTACACACTCCCTGTCCATAAGTTTTCAGATGTTTAACAAATTCAGATAGAAAGCGTAATAATGATATAAATATTCATGCAATTATCATTTTTTAATAAAATTGACACTAGTTGAAAAATATTGTCGTATATCGTTCGTTAAATTATCCCAAACTTAAATTACACTGCAAAAATGTTCGTTAATTAAATATTTAAGAGAGTTAGAAATGATTCAATTAATAATGATATTAAAACTATGTGATTTGACTTTGATCACATTGAATCACAAAAATGTTGGGACGAAATTTAAAGTTTATTAGCATCTCGAGATTTTCAAAATAATTGCAATAGCTACAATATGTCATATATACAGAATAACAAATTATTCTTAGTTTATTTAGCTCAACAATATATTTTAAGAAATATTTTAAAAATGTTACTTATGCCAACTACAGCAAATAATCTAGATGTTTAAACAATGTATACAATCACAAATTGTATCGTTTAATAACAAAAATTATGAAGGAAAAACAATTGTTAATATTTAAGAAAAGAATTAATATTCGCAAATCAGAATAATTTTTGATACTTTTATAATTTTTAATATTATATTTTACTAATAACAGATCTTTTAACTAATTTTCAACAATTTAAGAAAAGAATTAATATTCGCAAATCAGAATAATTTTTAATGCTTTTATAATTTTTAATATTATATTTTCAGTACTAATAACAAATCTTTCAACTAATTTTCAACAATTGTTAATATTTAAGAAAAGAATTAATATTTGTAAATCAGAATAATTCTTAGTACTTTTATAATTTTTAATATTACATTTTCAGTACTAATAACAGATCTTTCAACTAATTTTCAACAATTGTTAATATTTAAGAAAAGAATTAATATTTGCAAATCAGAATAATTTTTGATGCTTTTATAACTTTTAATATTACATTTTCAGTACTAATAACAGATCTTTCAACTAATTCTCAACAATTGTTAATATTTAAGAAAAGAACTAATATTCGCAAATCAGAATAATTTTTGATGCTTTTATAACTTTTAATATTACATTTTCAGTACTAATAACAAATCTTTCAACTAATTTTCAACAATTGTTAATATTTAAGAAAAGAACTAATATTCGCAAATCAGAATAATTTTTGATGCTTTTATAATTTTTAATATTATATTTTCAGTACTAAAAACAGATCTTTCAATTTCACCAATTACATTATTGCATCATTAATACACATTTTATCTGAATTTGCTGAATTTTCTGGAAACTCATGGACAAATGTCCACCGTGTGTATTTTCAAAATCATTGAACCTCAAACAGAGAGCTTGATCCCATCCTCGAGTTATAATGTCGAGCGATCCGGACGAATCGAAGAAACAAAAGGCGAGAGTAAAAGAATGTATCGCGCGATGAGTGGGAACCCTGCTCACCGATGAAGGGAAACGAGACAAAGGAGATACAGAAAGAAAGAGGAGACAAGACAAAATAAATCGGTTGCGACGAAAGATCAGGCCTCGATGTACAGGAATCGAGAGGAACAGGTGGAATCGTATGAACAGGTAAAAAAAAAAAAAAAGAAAGAAAGAAAGAAAAAACGAGACAGAAAGAAAAAGAGAGAAAGAAATTGCGCAACGTGTCACAGAAAGCCGTGTTTAAGAATGTTTGCTCGGTCCGAATGGATGTTTCTTTGGCAAGACTTACTGCGTTTCTACTGATATGCTAAAGACTTTATTGTGAGGTTCTGTTTTGGAGGGGGCGGTATGTTCGTGGCTTCGCCACGTGGGGTTGGAACTGCAAAATAAACCAGAGATGAACTAGTGAACCGGAGAAACGAAAGGAAGTTGTCGTTTTGAGAGAGAGAGAGAGAGAGAGAGAGAACCTATTGAACCGTTCAAGAGCGTGGTAGCTCGCGATTCACGCGAGAAACAACTCTCAGGGGTCTCTGACAAGATCACGTTTCTACGCTTCGCTAGATACGTGAGTAACATCGACAGTGTTTCTTTTTTTTTCTTCTTCTTTTTTCTTTTCTTTTTCTCATTCCATTTTCATTCAAAACAAATGCAAAATGACGATCCGAGTGAAATGAGTAGAGAAAGAGAGGAGAGATCCTTAAAGCGACAGCACGATTCTGTAAAAATGATCCCTTGATCCTTGAGATCCTACTTCGTAGTGGAATTTTAGTTTTTAGTTTGAACTTCGTTTTGAGACACATATATACATATATAATTTAAAATTTATACAATTAAATGAAGTTCTATAATAAATATATATTTTAGTGATAATTAAAAATTAATAATATTATTAATAGTTAAAAGTAATGGAAATGAACTTTTTAAAAATAAATAAGTAAAATTTATTTTGTACCAGAGTTAATTAATTTATTTTAATAATTCTAATTATCTCGAAAGTAAATGATCTAAATATATATATATATATATATATATTGTAAAATAAAAAAAATAAATATATATTTAGAAATTAAATGTTATATTTATATCTAGTTTTTTTTTAAATAAATTTAATTTATATCATTTGTGATGTTCTTTAGAAACGTATAATAGCGTTTGACGAGTTAGTTTTATGTGGTGATTATTATTTTAAAAGTTTAAAATGTCTATCACACATTTGCGATGTAAATGTATTTTTTTTTTTTTTCTTGGAAAAAATTATATTATTTTTCAGAAGAAGCGAGAAATAAGTTTTTAAACAAAACTGGATATTACTTTGCTAATGAAAGAAAAAATTTAATTAAAAAAATACACTTTTCATTTTATCAACGTGCAATAATAGTCAATGCAACTGCAATAAAATCACTGCATATGAAATGATAGATGTCTAAAATCATTCGAAATTTCGTGACTAAAGTCTTAAATAATATTTATTAGATCATAAAAGATCTATTGGAACAAATATTGATTTAAAACTTGGAGTATGTAAAATTCTTTCGACTTATAGAATTATCTTTCAAAATGAACTGTAAATGATTATCGAGTTTTAGTAAATTTTTTCTAGACTATTTGAAACTTCATAGCCAGTGTCTCAATTCATTGAACAAACTACAAATTCATGTGATGTACATTCGACATGCATTCAACTAGATAAATTATGAAAATAAATAAATAAGATTTTTATATTTAGCCAGGAAGTAGTTCCCTGATGAATCCTCTTCAAATTCAGTTCTAATGCTTAACTTTTTATATTTAAAATGAATTTCTTTGATAACCGAACACCACTAAATGACAAAAATTTATTTGATCATTCATGCATTCTGCATACCGTCAATTGAAATTACAAACAAAACAAAATAAAATAAAATAAAATAAAACAAATCTCAAAAACGAATATCTATCCTATTTCATCAATTTCTTAAACTCTTCACTTTACAAAATTAATAAGTGTCTCATATTAAAGTCAGAGGGTCAACCAAAAAAAAAAAAAAAAAAAAATTAAAAATTTTGTATACTCCAAAACGAAGTTCAGCCAAACTAGCCAAAGCTTTCTCTCTTTCAAGGGGCTTCGTTTCACGAACAACGAATAATCCTCTCGCTTCAAGAAGTTTTCGACCGGCGGACCCGCTGGCGGCTCGTTCGTCACACTTACTTTGGCGCCACGTCGGAGTATCTGGAATAGTGATGATAGTGGGACGTGCTCTGATGCGCTTCGGGGACTCTCTCCCGTTCGTTGTATCCGCCCGCGGGACCGTCGTAGCTCTCGTACTTTGCATAAGGGTCTCTGCTGTGCGACACGTACTTCTTGTCGTGGACACTGCAAGGAAAAGGAAGCGTTTCAGTCGAGTCGATCGCCGAGTACCCAGCTGCACTCGTCATGCGAGTTAGAGAAATATCAGTGTACTGTTTTCTTGCTAAAGCTGTTTCTCTGCGTGTTACATGTGTGTGTGTGTGTGTGTGTGTGTGTGTCGTTAACATCTTGGGTCAAATAGCTTTTCGTACGCCGCTAAACTCATGTATGTGTGTGTGTGTGTGTGTGTGTGAAAGAAAGATTTCATTTCCTCGCGCGGTTGCTAGTTTTTAAAAGCTCTGGAAAAAAACAACAATTCTTACGCGAGCGTTAGTTTCTAAGTAAGTTTAACGTTGAAACGTTTAACACCTTCCGGATTGATTCGAATGGAAAAGAAAATATTTGATCGTTTACTCACGACCAACTTAAACATACTTGACTGCTTGAAATCGACAGACTGCGGATATTCATATGTAGATTTATTTGCGAATGTTGCTGAAATAAAATGTAAAATAATAAAATAGAATTTTTTAACACTAATTTGTCTTACTGGCAATGTCTTTTAAAGTATAAATGTGTGTTTTTATCACTTTGAATAGTATTCATTTCTCTTCTTTTTCACGTTTGTATCACTTGTATGTTAAATATAGAATATGTTCTACATATAAAAATATAGAAAAATGTACAACTATTGTAGAATTATTTATATATATATATATATATATATATATATATATATATATATATATATATTAGTTATACATATAGAATTTTACACGTAGAAATTTATAGAAATCTATATATTAATATGAAAGTTGTTTTAATTTATACAAACTAACGAGTAAATTAATAAAAATAAAAAGTAAGAAAGAATCACAAAACAAAGTAATGAGTAATCATCGTGTTCTCCAAGTTTTGTGAAGCTCTCGTTTTTTCTAATGCGTACAAATGTTAAAATTAAATTTGGTTTAATTACATTATTCTTTTGAAACTTGAATAAAATTTGTTTCCATGTGCTCTTTTGTAATGTATTCTATCAATCATATATTCCATCATTTAATTCAAATTTTTTTAATTTATTTGTGACAAGCAACATTTTCCCTTACTGCTGAATATTTCTTTATATATATATAAAATCTAAATAATAGAAATAATAGATAAGCTAATCTAATATAATGATAATATAATCAGAAAATGTTTCACTCAGTTGCATTAGCTACAAATTGCAGTAGTAAAGATCGTCAGAAAATGTTCTTTTCGAAAATAAAAAGCCAACGTCGTAGTGAGAACAGAAATTTGGATTTAGGATTCAGGAACATTCGTGTGAGAAGTTGGTTAATAACATTTTCTGTAACCCTGTACATTTTCTGAATGTTTCACATGATTAAATCTTTAGAATTTTCAAATCTCTTGAAAATGAGGCTTAACAAATTTTATTTCACATCTCTTCATCTACGACTTTTTATTAAATTCAACATTAGAGATTTCCTTTTCATGTAGAATCACTACTTGATCATCAGTTATATAGTTTTGGATATTCAATATATTTTTGTTAGCACGTTACGTTAGTTTCTACGCCTTCAAACTTTCTATAGACACATAAAGATCCGTAGTCTCTGCAATAATAATGTAACAAAGTCAAGAAGGTGTCAGACAATATATTAAGTAGCAAAAAATTAACTACAGACTTTAAAGACTCTTTCATATACCTATGTACTCGAAACAATATTGTAGGATCTGTAATTAGAATCATAACCGCATAAAAACCACAGAATTTGATCATTGCAATTGAAAGATTTCCTGAAAAATATTTCATAGATCAAAAAAAAAAAAGACAAATTAAATAAATTATATTGTAAGTGTTTTACTAATTAAAATGTAAGACCACAGCTCTTACAAAACTTTGTTCTTTTTACACTCGCCAGATTAATGAAAATTTCACGGTAATTCAGCTATTTGGCTATTCAAAAAACTTTTTCAGAAAACATTCTCAATTTTTCTCTCCCCCATAATTCCGATCCTACAATATGCTCACCGCAGTGTTAGAATTAAAGGGTGTATCATGCAGAGAAAGGGTGGAGTCGCTTCAACGAACCAAATCGCTACAAGAATCCTGTGTCTCTACGTATGATCGCGAGGAATAAACATCCGAGTTTGACGTATATACGAAGGCTAAATTGTGAAACGGACGATAATACTGTGTTCGCAGCGTTAAAGGATTTAAACGGGCGTGCTACACGATCAACATAATCCAGCATGCGAGCAACTTGGCTGTTCTTGTTTTATACTTACTGAGTAAGGGGTATGTTATCCCTGTCTGCGTACGCGTCATACAAATATTCACTGGAACGGAGCGTGTTAGCGGTTAGATTCCAACAACCATTCCACACATTAGACAGCTACTTTTAATTTAATATGAGCTACTGCATTTGATAAAAATGAAGTGATTCGATCGTTTGATATTGCTTTACCGATTGACAATTTTCAGGGCTTGGAATCATGGTGTAAGCGGAGAAATTGAGAATTTGGAGATTTAGCCACGTGTTCTAATTCTTATATAAGAAAATATCATTAGTTTTGCAACTGTAAAAACGTGATATAGATGTTTTCATAATTTGATAGAATATAGCGAACTTGTCAACGAATTTTCAGGGATCTTCTTTAGTGTTAGTCTACATCACAGTGACTCCTCAGCCCTTTGATATAAATTAGGATTCTTGGCGAGAAACTGAAAGTTCTATATTTTTTATTTACTTGGATAATTAATCGAGATAATTTAAGTGTGAATTTAGAGAATCACTGAAAAATATCAGACAATCGAATAATTTTCACGAGGAACAAAGTTCTCGAGCCAAACGTTATTTTATTCACCTCTCTTGTGATACGTTTTTGCGACGATCAACGCTGAGTTTTAGTTAACAACTCACGACACACCGAGAGAAAAATCAAGAATAAGGGCAAGTGAGCTTGTGAGAAAAAAGACAACGTCGTTCTCGTCGGTTTGCATGAGATTCACTTGAAGAATTGGCGATACAATTTTGAAACTGGCTAAACAAAATATAGTGGGATGGCTCAGGAATCGAATGAAACTGTTGAAACTTGTAATTTTCTGACTGATTGTCTCTTTTTGTTCTCAAGGAAACTTGTTGCAAAACACGAATTGCTTTATTCAACACTTTTTGGCATAAATTTATTTCCTTGGTGCTAACAGGATTTTAATTAAACAGGAACATTTATTCTGCTTGAAGAAAGTAAAGGAGATTTCCTGCAAAGTGAGATATACACAAGTATGTATAACATCTTAAAAGGAATTATGTATAACTGTACAACTGTAAGAATTATGTACAGCACTTAGTATATACAACTTTGTAGAAAAATTGTAGAATAAGTTTAAAGGATCGTTATAAAGGAGAAACTTCAATCTTCAGATTGACTTAACAATTGTTCAGTGTTTACAAAAACGTTCGAGTTTGCACAATTTTCAAGAGAGAAAACATCTATATTTATCTCTTGTAAAATAGGATAATAAATTTATCCCCAGTAACATATTTACTCGGTAATTTGGAACAGGAAAACAAAAGATAATTTGGACCTTGGTTCTGAAAATTTAATTCAAAAAATTTGTTTACAAAATATCTGTATTTATCTCCTGTAAAACAGGATAATAAATTTATCTCCAGTAACATATTTACTCAATAATTTGAAACAGGAAAACAAATGATAATTTGGAACTTAATTCTGAAAATTTAATTCAAAAAAATCTGTTTACAAAAGTAGACAGTTTCATTTGATCCGTGAGGATCAAAAAAGGAATTCATGCCGACTAGAAAATGAAAAGATATCGCAAGCGCGAGTATGTGCATGCTGGGGATAATATGGAAGCTCGATTAACTACCAGATTGAAACAAAAGGCTGAACATTTTCTACATAGAGGGTGCTGAGAATCTGCTGGCCAGAAATTAGCGAGGAAAATCGTAGAAGCAATTGTTTCCGAGTGGATGTAATGTTATTCCTAATTTTCCTAATATCTCTCAAGGGCAATAATTCAGCCAATTTGCCTCTAAACTAGATCAATATAATAATTTCGAATACGGGTGAATTGAAATTTCTTTTCAACGATACGAAATAATCCCGAGTTCACAGCAAAGGACATTTTTGGGAAATTCAAAATTGGCATGCACCGGATATCTAATTATATTTTGGAAACACTTAATAGCGTTGAATCTATCGATTGGGTTTAAATGATACTGAAACAAGAGAAACTTACGCTTCGACTAGAGGTCCTGGATAGGGATCCGATTTTTGGTAGAGCGCGCTCAATTTCACGCAGAGCACTATAGTTGGGATGAAGAGGACCAGACACCAGCCCACGCTCACCCAGAAACCATTCTGCGGATTACAAACACAAGAATCTTCGTGTAAATTTTGCAATTTAAAGAGAGGCATTTTGTGGAATTTATTCTGTGAAATTTAAAATGTGAAATATTTTTTAATTTAAAATTTTGTAATTCAGAACAGAATTCACTCTGCGAATTACAAATAAAAGCACTCTTTTGTAATTTTATAATTTAAAAGCTGTTCTGCTGGATTACTTTTTAATCTCAATTATTTAAAACTCTCAAAGTTTTTTTAAAATTACTTTGGAAAATTAGAAAAAAAGAAAAGGCAATTCTAGGATTATTTTGTGATTTAGAAGAGACCATTCTGTGGATAATTTTGTAGTGTTAACAAAGTGACTGTACGAAAAAAGGTGAATCGATTGCTTACAAATGGATCTAGGATTTTGTTGCATCCTGCGACTAGTGTGGCATTGTATGCATTGGAAACAGGACCGCATCTTCCTACATTGGATAGTGCATAAATGATAACTCGCTCAAGGAAATCGTCGACTTGACGAAGAAAAGCGTTTCCAAATTTAGTGGCCAGCTGTAACAAAAAAATTAATCAATTGTGACAACTGAGACACATTAATCAATTTAGTGTAATGTAATGAAAAATTCTGCAGAATGATCTTATTGAAATATGTTTTTTCTAACCATTTCAATATTTCTGTATTGAAGCATCAACTTTAGTGAAAATAAAAATGAAATTTAAAAATATAGATGTATAAAAATGAACGTTTATCAAACGTTCAACTCTCAAAATATAAAAAATATCAAGCTTTTAATGAATTTGTATTAGTATTTAATTCTTCATGCATTTATAATTAATTATTCATCATAATTCATTATAATTATTAACATAATTATAATATAACATTATATAACATATTAATAATATATTATTTTAGCGTGTAATATATATAATAATATTGTATAATTACATTTATTACAGTTATTATTTATGCTTTTTTGTATATAGGCACCTTCTTTGTCTTTACGAGTACAAATTTCACATACCTTTTGCATATTTTACATACACTCGCAGTTGAGAGAAGTTCAAAACTTACTTGTTGCACGTATTCTGGCCCGTCTTTATTCAAGAACTGCTGCGCCTTCGTCACTTCGTCGACCAGATGATGAATAGCTTCCGCCATAGAACTATGGTTAAACTTGATCTTCTCCTCGAGTGTCACAGCCTTTGTGACCAATTGTTCGCTAAGCATAGCCATAGGTCTCACTAATTGATCGTGATAATACACTAGATCCAGCGCATTCTTCTCCAGGCTGACGCGAATCTCATCCTGCCCTGTAGGCAATTCAGCCGACACTTCCAACAACTGTTTCGACAGATGTTCCAGATTGATATTCGTGATGTTATCGGCGAGAATCTCGACGTACTGGTAGAACTTTATGTCACTAAGACCACTCTGCGCAAGGTCGTTCAATTTCGATTTCGCGCTATCCGTCAAGATGACTACGTCAGGCGAAAGACTGATCTTACGTCGTAGTTGCTGGATTGTGTTGTTGATGTCGTAACGACCAGCGTATTCGCGCAACGAGTTCACATTGTAGATGTTTTCCAACTTCAGCACTTTGTACAGTGTTTCGTTCAGATGGCAGTTTCTGTCATGAAGAAACGATAGAATTACTTTTTGCTTGCTGCATTGTGGAATTATTCTTTGATTTTGATAGAGTGAGGAATGAAGACTTGTGTTTATGAGTAATAGAACTTCCTACATCCGAACTCATGCACATTTTAATATAGTTAGACTTCATGAATTCTGCAACAGTTTCAGTATACCTCCCACATTACCGATTCTTCTTAGTTTGTTAAGCTTTAAAATATTAAATTATTTTAAAGCTTAACTCCATCTTTAATAGTAGAAAGCGTGTTGAGTAATTTATTAACTATAATTACAATAATAATATTATGAGCACTTTAAAAATTTTTTTTTTAATTTATTTTAGAATTTATTATTAAAACACTTGTGTCATTTTCTTAAGATAAACTCGTGAGAACAAGTCATTTGTTTCTCGAGAACTGAATGTTAATCATCAATTATTAATTTATGTAACGAAATAAAGAAATTAGAATTGCTCATTTATTTTTTTGAATTTGTATTGGAATCGCATACTGGTCAATTGAATTTCTTGATCAAAGTAATTCTTTTGTGATCATTTATAATCTTTGATGATCTTTTTAGTAATCTTTGATCAATTTATATTTTAACGCTCTTTGACTTACCTGACTATATAGCTCATATTCACATCATTAGGATTCTGAGGATACAGCGTCTTATTAATTTGAACGATTTCATCAACCAGAGCAAACATCCTATTATCGTATGGATTCTTCAAAGGTTCACACACAGCTCTTTGAACAAGTACACCAATGACCATGTGTACTACGGTGATCACCATGAGAACGCTCGTTAGGAGGAAAATGATCCAAACAGCCCTAGAAAAATTTCATAAAAATGAATCCTTTAAAGTCCATCTCCATAACATTCTATTTACATAATACTTTATATAATACTTTACATATAAAATTTCTTATTATTAGACTGCGGATTTGTGGAAAATTTGTATGTTTTTTGAAAAATATAAAAATATGCAAAAATATGTAAAATAACAAAAAAAAAAGAGTATAAATTATAATACTACGTAAAAGAAACAATCTTCTATTTAGATTTAATTATGTTCATGAAAATTTAAAAATGCATACAAATCTACATACTGTGTATAGAAAGATGGAAGTTTTTTTTTTTCAAAAAATAGTATTTTATGTAGATTTGCAAACATTTATACAAGATAACTCCCATTAATAAATGTTGAAGTTTCAGAAGCGTGATAGTAATCACAATAAATAAAAAGTACAAATAATTAGTAAAAAAAGAAGTTTTAGAGATTTGCTAGTTATTACTTCTAATAAACTGCTAATTAATAGAGCTTACATCATAAGAAATCGTGCTCCAGATCCTTTGTTACAGCAGTCGTCTCCATATCCATCGGGTCGCTTTCCACAAATACCACAGAAGAGGCCGAAAGTCAGACACATTAAAACTGTTAATAAAATTCCTGATATCCCAAGACCGACATAGTATCTGTAAGAAAAATATATTTGTCAGAAAGGGAGAACAGAAATTATCTGCAATATTCGAATATTTGAAAAGAGTAAAATGGAAATACAGCAGAGCTCATTTATTTTGATTTATTTAAAAGTTTTACTACTTAAATATTTCGTTATCCAAACAGAATATTTTATATTTACCAATACTGGGTGAAATAGTATTTAAAATAAATAAAAATGTTTATAGAAATTATTGGACATATTAAAATATAAGTCGTTTTCTTTTGTTACCTGTTTTTCATTTTTTTTTTTTTTTTTTTTTGTGAACAGTGAGGCTCAAACAAGCGAAAGTTTAAGTTTCATTTTTTCCAAAAAAAGAGATCATTCCCCACACAGTCTTTTACAGTTCATAATTCCTAACAATTATTTATTTTCATATTGACTGAAATATTATTTGAAATACTTATTTGATTCTACAAATATATTCACTGTGTACTTCAATTATATATTTTATCAATTATTATATAATTTTTAGGATTAACTTGAAATAATTATTTGAAATAACTATTTCTTTTATTACACGTGCAGTGATATATTTAATGGAATTTTTACAATACTTAAAAGATCAGAATACGTGTTGAACAATACTCAACAAATAATGTGTGGAGACTATTCTATAAATTTAGTACATCAATTTCTTTATCGACTATAATAAAGAATTAGTCATGATATTACGCTAAAATCTATCTGATTTTCTGTTTGAAATATGTATATTATTGAAAGTAAATGGCGGGAATACATAAATATTTGTTTCTTTCCTTCTGAAATAGCATCCAATTGTAAAAGGTATGAAGAAATGATTAATGCAAGTCATATAATTATTTCTAATACTTTTTATAATTTAATATTTGTTTCAATTAATAATTCCCATACGTATGTTTCAAATAAATATTTTTAACATACTTGCATGCATCACTATTAAATAAAATATCTCTTATTTCTCTAAAAGTATTTCAATTATTATTTTCAATACTGTTTATTTAAAATACAAGTTTCAGCTGAAAGAGGACCTAAATGTCCCTTCTGTTTTTAATGTCATGGAAACTTAAATGATTTTCAAAATCAATATTGTGGAAGATAAAATTTTTTGTTGGTTAAATTTTTTTAGTTTCTTCTCAAAGTCATCATTATCACTGAATGTGAGCTGTATAATTAGTGGATATCTGCTCTGTTATTGCACTACAATCAGTTAGTGATTATAGCAGGTTCACATATCATTCACGTTCATTTGTCATATCATTCCTGATGATCGAAATCATCTGAAGATAACAATTCAAACATTATATACAATTCATTCATCAGAAATTTAAAAAAAAAAAGAGTCAACAAAAAGCTTTCTTTCCCATTTCCCTTTCAAAACCATTTAAAAACCATTGCACGAAAAATATTTTCCAAGGAGATATTTAGCCTTTTTCACCCAGCTACATCTAGAACCGGTAATTACTGAAATTTCCAGATTAGTTACGGTTATACCAAATTGTTTCTTACCTGTACGGTGAATACTGGTCGATGTGCGTCCGCGCAAAGTCTACATTCTTCACGGACCTGTCTATCTCAACGTTTATCCTGTCGATGAGCATTGTCATGTTTGTTGCCAGACTACTGCAGAACACCCCGATTCTCCTGATGCTCGCGCTCACCACTGGTATCGTCTGGTTCACAGCGTGTTGAATGTCCTTCTGAATTTTCAGGAACGACTCTTTACCCTGGCTCACCTCCGACACGATGTTGCCTTTCATCAGCATCGTGATGTTGTGCAACGCAGACGTGACGTTCGGCAGCTGGAAGAAAATCGCAGGTTTTCAATCAATTTCGATCGATTTCGGAAAGGAGTCGAGCGATGAAAGATCTATCGGAAAGAAAAAGAAAGAACGATTATGCCTGAGAATGACACATTAAAATGAGAAAATGTAGAACAGTCAAAGGTATCGATATGAGAAGTGTCATGCTCGTGTCTATTGAAATGGACAGTCCCTACGTATGTTAATGGTATGTTAGAGAGAAAGACAGAGAGAGAGAGAGAGAGAGAGAGAGAGAGAGAGAGAGAAAGAGAGAGAATGAAACTGAAAAGTGCATTGAAATGTACCAAGTCTGTTACAAAAGCTCTTCGTCGCAGACCGACAGAATGCAAAGAGTGCTCAGCTGGAAATAAAGGTATGGTTTCAAGATGTGTTTGACGGATCTCTCGAATTCAGAAAAAGGAAAAAAAAAAGAAGAAAAAAAAAAAAGGAAAAAAGAAAGAACGTAGTGAAAAGAAAACTCAGTGCAAAATAAGAAAAGTTCTCATTCCTTCTAAACGTTTGTCGCGTTTGTGTTTACAGACTTGTAAGTTTGTTACAATGTGACTGTTCTTCCCCCTCGTGATTCAAGATCCGTAGAGTGAGGACAGTAATTCGAAATTATTCTAAAACACTTAAACAAAGGTATCCAACGAAACGATACACATATCGAACGTTACACAAAATCGAAAGTTGACATGCTTTAGCTTATGACTTACAGACTGAAGCTATTTTGGTGGTAAGCATGGAATCAGATAAGTTTATACTACAATAACTCTATTCGTAAACCAATGGCTGGACATCCATAAGATTAAGAAAATAAATAGATCACTATTGGTGTATCAACAGTTCTACAGTTCTACTTTTTTTTTTTTTTGTAAAAGAAAAAAGAAAGTTAATATTGTACACATGTATGTTAAAACAGAAAAAAGGAATTTTCTAATTTCCATTGGTCTACCATTTCAGATTAGAACAGAAACATAAGCAAATCGAACGGTATCAGTAAGATTCATCTTCCTTTTCCCATTACAGAATTAATGAGACAAAAAAAAAAAAAAAAAAAAAAAAAAATAGAAATAAATGACAAAGAAAGTAAATATAAAATAAAGGAAAGAAGAGTGTACACTATCGAATCGATGGAGAAATAATGCCGTAACTTTGCGAATAAACCGAAGGAGTAATAGTGTAGATATAATGATAAATTATCATACCTTTGGGAAGTATCGGTCCATGTACTGTACGCATGTAAAGGAAAACGAAGATTAGACGACAAACGTGACAAACACAATTGATAAGGCGGAAGAAAAGCGAAAAGAAAAAAAAGGAAATACCTTGTCGAAGTCTACTTGAACTGACATTTGATTCACTTTGTAATCGTGCAGCACTTGCTTGCAATTTTGGGTCTTGCAAGCCGCGAGCGTGTGAAGGAGATTGTTTTTAACACCTCGTACAACTGAAACGAACGAGGAACATTCCTAACAAAACTTTCGTTCCATTGAAATAATTATGTTTTAAAACTTCCTTTGGAATATTCGTAGGTATATTACATCTAGAGAAAATGTTCCTTTCAGCAACGATTACACGTTTTTCAAATAGAAATGAAAATTGATAAAATTATAGTCAGAATATCTCCAAAGAAATTTTTCAAACGAACGTTTCTTTGGATATGAGAATAAAAAAAATTTATAAATAAATATTAATAACAAAATAATAATGATAGTAATAAAAATAATAAAAAAATAAAATAATATATTAAATAAAAAATAATAAAATAATAATAATAGTAACAAAATAATAACAATAGTAATAGTAAGTTTAATAACAAAATAATAATAATAGTAATAAAAATAATAAAAAATAAAATAATAAAATAAATTAAATAATAAAAATTAATTAATAATAAAAATTTCTCTAGAATATTTCTAAAAAAAAAAAAAAAAAAAAAAAAAGTGAAAGACACAGACATAAATAAAACATCAAAAGGAATCGTACCAATGTCCAGTTGACTAGCGTTTGTCCTTAGATCGCGGGTGATCGTGTGCATGATCTTCAGGTCCTCTTTAATGGACTCCAAGCCGGCGACAATATCGCTTAAATTAGTCAACGAGACCGCGTGGGAGTATTCAGCGAGCTGTTCGGTGATGATTCTGCCGCTGGCCTGCAGGATGTTGTTCAGGTTAATTTCCAGCTCGTCGAAATTAGTCTTGAGGATGTTATAAATCTCCTCCTTTGTGTTGTTCAGATACAGCTTCACGTCTTTCAGGCTGACTTTCACGTTGTTAGGCAGCTCTTTGGTCCCGTCTTGCATGTACTCGTTCGTTACAAAGGCGCAGACCACGCCGAACCTGAAAAGTTACATCGTACCGTCTGTCTTCTTGGTATCTTTCGCCGAGGGAACAAACAAATTGGAAAGTTCTCCCCGATTAAACTCCAGTTCCGATCCGCCTCGTTGTCGATAAATTATTTATTGATACAGATATCCGCTCGAACTTCCCTTTGGCATGCACATCAGCCAGATGCAAAAGGGAATTTCACTTTGTTCCATTTTGTTTGATTGGAGGAAAATTAATTGGAGGGGATGTTGGGGAATATCAACTATTTATTCGGGTCAGTGATTAACTCGGAGGTAATCTTCGTTATCGGAAAAACGTGCAAATTATTTACAGTGTTTTGGTTTTGTGTAAATTCTTTCTTACTTTCGTTGATAGTATAATAACGATAATTAATAATATGCAATTTTTAAAAGGATTAGTAACAATAGAATGAAATGTATGTATTGCGTTGAATTTATGTACGTGTGTCTATATCGTTCATTTACTAATTCTAATTTTTTACACTAAGCGTTCAAATACACGAGCTACCATACGTTCTTAATAATAATTAATTCCTTTAATCACTTGCGCTGGCAACTGATTGCGGACCATAACGAGTGACCAAATCGTATACAACGATTCGTCGCTTTCTTTTTGAACTCGTCGGTATGATATCACCGAATAGAAGTAATAAATTTGTTTTGTCTGTTTTGTTTTACTTAAATATACTCAAAACTGAGAAAATATTACAATTTTGGGACAAGAAACTGTCGACGTGCGTGGAACGTCATTCCAGCGCAAGAGGTTAACCACTGATTGCGGACCGTAACGAGTGACCAAACCGTATACAACGATTCGTCGCTTTCTTTTTGAACTCGTCGGTATGATATCACCGAATAGAAGTAATAAATTAGTTTTGTCTGTTTTGTTTTACTTAACTGTACTCAAAACTGAGAAAATATTGCAATTTTGGGACAAGAAACTGTCGACGTGCGTGGAACGTCATTCCAGCGCAAGAGGTTAACCACTAATTGCGGACCGTAACGAGTGACCAAACCGTATACAACGATTCGTCGCTTTCTTTTTGAACTCGTCGGTATGATATCACCGAATAGAAGTAATAAATTAGTTTTGTCTGTTTTGTTTTACTTAACTGTACTCAAAACTGAGAAAATATTACAATTTTGGGACAAGAAACTCTCGACGTGCGTGGCACGTCATTCCAGCGCAAGAGGTTAACCACTGATTGCGGACCGTAACGAGTGACCAAACCGTATACAACAATTCGTCGCTTTCTTTTTGAACTCGTCAGTATATCACTGAATAGAAGTAATAAATTTGTTTTGCCTGTTTTGTTTTACTTAAATATACTCAAAACCGAGAAAATATTACAATTTTGGGGCAAGAAACTCTCGACGTGCGTGGCACGTCATTCCAGCGCAAGAGGTTAAGTTTTTCATAAATTCGTGAATTTAAGAAATTGTGGATAAAGTAGATGGAATGCTTACAGAATAATAGTAGCAACCGCGATAAGCACCATACTCAGCATCACTTTTCTACAATGATCGTGTTTCTTGTCGAAGGGTTGACTTCTAGCACCACAGTGACCGGCACACCTACAGCAACAGAAAAACAACCCTACGCAGGGCAAGATCGCAGCTAACAGTAGCCCAACGATGGTTAGACCAGCCAATCCACCGTAATGCGTTGCGATTTTTTTCCATTGGGCCAAGGTGTACTGAAATGTTGGTATCCCGTCGATAACAGTGAACATTCCTGCAACAAAAAATTATTACGCAACGTTAGTATACATTTGAACAGCGATTGATAATACTAAATAATAACAACGAATCAATAAATAACAAATATTAATTTCTTTTTTTTTCATGTTGCGCGAGAATTTTGTGCCTTCGATAGGAATATGAAAATCGTTTTTTAAAGAGAAACAAAATTCTGAAGAAAAAAGAAAATTTTTCAACCATGAATATTTTTTAACTATGAATGTTATATACAGAATGTTTTTTCATTATTTTATGTTTCCAACATAATTTTGCAGACCTTCCCAGATGTAATAATATGCGTTTCTCCAATGCTGCAAACTTTTAAACATATATTTTACTAATTTTTGTTGATCTGTCATTTCTTATTTCAAGAACTAAGGATCTAAGAAAAAATTTAATTATATAATAGACGACAGAGCGAAATCTTTTCCTGTAGAAATCGATCAAAAAATTATAACAGATTTTATTTTCGACTTAGAAAATTTGATCGTTAAAACGAAAGATATTAGATTTTTGTAAATGAATATCATTGATATTGTGTGGTTGAAGGAGATTGAACAACAATGAAAATGTTAAAAATAATTATTAAAAATAGTAAGAAAGGATGTAACTATAGCAAACTTATGATTTTTCTCTTATACTGTTTGATATCTTCTTCGAATCTTTTTTACACTTTACCCAAAATTTACTATTTTTTACGTTTTACGTAAATAGATGTGATCTTCAATCTACGATTTCATTTAAAAAAATCAAAACTGACTTTCACAAGTTTTTCACTCATAAAAGAATTAACAACACACCTCGAAAACATTCATCCAACATGTCTCGTTGTTAAGACACATCGCCCCAAATTTTAATAATTAAAAACTAATTAAAAATTAGATGTTATTTTCCTCGATACATAAATATATTTATTAATTTATTTATATTTGCGTGCAATATTTAATTTTCTTACGCGAAAAATAATATAAAATCCACAGTAAAAATACACATAATATATAATATATATATATATAATGTATAAAATCCACATAATATAAAATCTACAGTGTGCAGATACATTTCAAAAGTTGCAGCACCTCCACGATTTCAAACGACGAGCCCGCCACTGGTTAAAAATCAAAAGATACAAATCAAGTAACGTCACATAGTGTGACACGGTCCGTGTATTTTTTTTTTTTTTTTTTAAACATCGTTCGTCGACACATTACGCTCGCTTAAAAGCACGCGCGTCATTGAACAAAACAAAGGAGAAAAAGCGAAGCGAGGCAGGGTCGGGACAATCGGGAGGAAGCAGAAGAGGAGCAACGAAGAACAGATATTAAAGAACATATTTTCCATCTGCAACCGTGATTCCGCTTTTTGGAGCGAGAACAACGGGGAAAACGAGGACACGGTCGGATGTGGGACGTAGGTCACGAGGAAGGGTTGCCAGGTCGAAGGGTGAATGAGGACGGGAGGAGGGATGAAATTTATTTCCTAGTTGCTCCTGGGGAAAAATGGATCAAACGTCGATGACCGGTCGCGTAGGATTAAGACCCGTGGACCCGCTGCATTGATTTTCTGATGCGGCATGCGGTAGAACTTTTCTGCGAGGCACGTACAAAGTTGCCAAGGTTATCCTTTGTAACTCACATTTATAACTAATTGGTATAATTGCAGAGTCTATTTCAATAAAAAGCAGCATTTTCAGTTAATATGGTACATATTATCTACAACAATAAAAGTTAAAAAAGAATAATTAAAAATTATGGGTGTTATAAATTTATGATTTCTTAAAAAACCATATTTATACTTTTGTGATTTCTTAAAAAAACATATTTATAATTTTATGACTTCTTAAAAAACTATATTTACAAATTTATAATTTCTCACCATCATATTTTCATACTATAGTATATTATATCTATACTATACTATACCATATCTATAGTATATTATATCTATATCTATGCTATACTATATCTATAGTATACTATAGTATATTATACCTATATCTATTCTATACTATATCTATAGTATACTATAGTATATCATACCTATGTCTATGCTATACTATATCTATAGTATACTATAGTATACTATAGTATATTATACCTATGTTTATTCTATACTATATCTATAGTATAATATAGTATATTATACCTGTGCCTATTCTATACTATATCTATAGTGTACTATAGTATATTATACCTATGTCTATTCTATACTATATCTATAGTATACTATAGTATATTATACTTATGTCTATGCTGTAATATACTATAGTATATTATACCTATGTCTATTCTATACTATATCTATAGTATACTATAGTATATTATACCTATGTCTATGCTGTAATATACTATAGTATATTATACCTATGTTTATTCTATACTATAGTATAATATAGTATATTATACTTGTGTCTATTCTATACTATATCTATAATGTACTATAGTATATTATACCTATGTCTGTGCTATACTATATCTATAGTATACTATAGTATATTATACCTATGTCTATTCTATACTATATCTATAGTATACTATAGTATATTATACCTATGTCTATGCTATACTATATCTATAGCATACTATAGTGTATTATACCTATATTTATGCTATACTATATCTATAGTATACTATAGTATATTATAGCTATATCTATGCTGTACTATATCTATAGTATACTATAGTATATTATACTTATATCTATACTATACTATATTTTATCTGTAGTATACTATATACAGTATAGTATACTATAATATATTTTAATACAAACAAATATATATTCAATAAACGAGTATGTTCATTAATATAGCTAGTATCACATATATATATGTATAGTATATATTTTATATACTATACATTTTAGTATCTTCCATATAGATTTTCAGATTAACTTCAAACCAATCACCAATATAATCATGATAATTGTGTTTCATTGCAGTGCTAATGAAATTTTCAAATGTTTCATATAAGTCGGAAATAAAACAATCGGTTAAAATGAGTAAGAATTTCTCTATCGTATTATTTATTGTTTATATTGTTACTTATCGTTCCCTATTTCGTTATTTATCATCTTCACATATTTAAAATTTCTTATGAATGTATCGTTTCAGTTATTGGGACACAGTTTAGACGACAGGTACAGCTAGAATCGAATGCATGGCGTAGCCAGGTTAAACTGTTTCATGCAGCTTTTACCAAGACCTGTACGACCGCAATAAATCCGTCGGTAGATTCGCGTGATTTCTCGATGCGGCAGCGGCAACTTGCGCCAAAAACTTTGCACCCTGCTGTTCAGATACTAGTACCGACTAGTACTGACAATTAGAGTTTTCCTTTACATGTGGATCGTTCCTGGTAAATTTTACCAGCCTATTACCTCGGGTTATCATAGTAGGCTTCTGAAAGTAGCTACCAAATATCACACGTACTCTGACAATTCTTATATAATATAATTGTTTCATATTTTCTATATTGTCTATATTTGCGACGAAACTAAAAGTTTAAGAATAACTGTAATCTTCCATTTGTACACAGTGTTCAGAGAATGTTACAATGATCTGCTCAAGTATCCAAATATTTCACTTGTGTTATTAATATTTTATAATTTATAACGAAAACTGTAATTAACTTTTCGTAGGTAATTTTCCTGAATCGTTAACGTTCTACTGGTGAATTTTCCTAGCAAATTGAAATTTGAAAAAAACTTTTCATATATTTGACTTAAGAAAATTAATTGTACAATATAGTAAAGGCTTTATCAAGTAATTCAAAATTGTTCCATAAACCTATTATAATATTGGATATTATTATGTAACAAAAAATATTGTTATTATTATAAAAATATTAAAATATTATATTGTATTATTATATTTTATTTATTTTTTATATTATATAATATTATGGTATAAAAATATTAAAATATTATTATAAAAATATTAAAATATTATTATTACTATTATAAAAATATTACAATATTGTTATTATTATTATTATAAAAATATTAAAAAATTACTATTATTATTAATATATAAACTATTATTAATAATATAAATATTATTATGTAACAAAAAAAAATTAAATATAGAACGATTTAGCTTTCCTTTCAGCAATCCAATGAGCAAAACTTGCTCACAGATGGTTAATTATATTTAAAAATGATTTGAAATTACGAAATTTATATTTCTCAGAAAAAATGTACGAAATATGTATGAAAATATTTACTAAAATAATGCTGTAAACTTCTAAGCACGATCGTGCAAATAAAATTTGATATTTCAAACGGATATCATTCTCATCAATATTCCAATGTTATACATTCGGTATAGTTCGTTTAAATACATGGCGAAAAATGGAGCACCTTTCAGGCAACAGGGATTTTATCAGATCCTCGAAATGAGGTAATTCATGGCTCGAGTAGAGTTTATTTCTCTTTCTCAGTCTGGGTGATTTCAATTCACGTCGCTGAGTCGAACTGGGAAACTTGATCGCTCGAAATCGAACGAAATATTTTCCACCGTGATGGACTCGATCAGGGAAATTTATCGAAAAGAATCATTCGACCAGAAAAAAAGCAAACGTAATTATATATTTGCTACGAGCTTCCATTTCGAGATTCGTCCGCGAAATAAAATCATTAGAATTGTAAAACGTTGAATAAAATTTATGTATTTTTAGTAATAGTATTTTCAATAAACAACATAGCTGAATAACCATAAGTTTTGTATAAATATTAATATTATTAGTACTATATTGTATATTAATATTTTTAATTATTAATTACATTACAATTATATTATTAGTATTGCAATACTAATATTATTAATACTAGTATAAAAAGTAACAAACGTAATTAAACAATTAAATCATCGTATAGTTTTTTTGTTACAGGCAAATAAAAAATATTCATAATTTTAAAAAGTTTACACCAGCAAAAGTTTAATTATTTAACAAAATGTTTCTGTATATATTAGTTATATTATATTAGTATATATATACGATTTTTTATTAGTATATATTAATTATATTATGTTGGTATATATACTATTTTTTATTAGTATATATTAGCTATATTATATTAGTATACATACTATTTTTTATTAATATATATTAGTTATATTATATTAGTATACATACTATTTTTTATTAGTATATATTAGCTATATTATATTAGTATATATACTATTTCTTATTAGTATATATTAACTATATTATATTAGTATACACACTATTTTTTATTAGTATATATTATATTAGTTATATTAGTATATATTATATTAGTATATATACTATTTTTGATTAGCATATATTAGTACATATTAGCTATATTATATTAATATATGTACTAATTTTATTAGTAT